GCTGTTCACCTGTGTGCCTCATGTAACATTTGTATTATAATATTATTATTATTTATTTTTACCTAATCTAATCTTAACTAAACTAAAAGGATCCGTATTTTTACATTTTAGTTACTTTTATAATTAGACATAAAGAATAAACATGGAAAACAAGAAATATGCTACTTAACCAATCTTCTTTTTTCTTGCTGTCGATTGTCAAAGAGAGTTAACCCTAATTTTTTATACTAATGGTAGTAATGCACTTAATAATTTTTATTTAATTAAATAATGCACCAAATAATACAGACTAATAACTTGCAAAAAGTAGATAAATTCCCTTACTTCTCAAAATTTTTCTGGCTTTCTAACTATGTGACAAGAGCCATTACATATTCATCCAAGCTAGTTGTTAACATTCTCATTGTAATGTTGTTGATACTCTGAGTGAAATTGACATTTAACCATTCAGAACATAATGTCATACAATATGTCATTTAATAGATGAAAACTTTGACTTTCTATTGTTTATAAGTAATGTATAAGAACTATTACCAAATTCTGAAAGAGAGGATGTGACGGTTAGGTGTGACAGGAGGGGTCTGATTTCCTATTCGATAGCTCTGTAACAAAACAAAATTGAAGCGTATAAAAATTATAGATATATGGTTTGTATGAGCAATGTCTTTTTTTTTATGGAGAGTAATTTATGTTTAATTTCGTACTTTTTCGAGGGGTGGTGGATAAAATAGGGAAGATGACAGGCTAAGAGAAAATGTGTCATAGGTCACACTAGGGGAAATTCAGGATTTTTGAAAATATTGTCCTGTAGAATTAAGAACTTAAAACTTGTATAATATTAAAATATTGATTATTAGCTAAGATTTTATGCTATACTAATTGGTATAATATGAACAAAAAGCAGTTTAATAAAATTTTGAATGTAAGACACTAAAACCTTGTATCATGTGCAGTAAATGATACCCGTGGTGATAGGGTTAATAAGCCAGCTTAACAGAATTTTTGGGTTAAAATAGAAGCAGAAGAATTGTATAACCATAGCGAGATATATGAAATTGAACTAAAAGAATGTAACACCTTGTAAAGACAAATTAATTGGGTGATATTTTATGTAAGGTTGTCTCAGTGTATTTGCTGAAGTAAGATTGAAAGTGTTCAAAAATGTTTGACCTGTAGTAACCTGTGTAGTTAATTGGATGATGTGAGATGTGGAGCATGTCTAGTTGTCAATGCTGAGTGTGATTAAATCTTTTACTTTGATTAATTTATTACTTTTGCTTGACGAAAGAGTTAATGTGCCTATATCTGTATCACAATTTAAAATTTGATTCACATCCCTTTCTGACAATGTTTGTTTGTCAATGCTTTTGCTGGATTTAGTATTATTATGAATCAAATAATTCTGTTTTTTTATTTTTTTTATTTCTACTTTTCAGAAATAGTAATATAAATTAATTGTTTGTTGCTTTTAGATGTCAAAAATCATTACAATTTCCATCAAATATTTCCATATGCTTTCACTTTATAGATTGTGTGCTCATGCTATAATGTATTGTAGAATAACAGTTAATTCATGTTAGATTGAAGTCAAGCATAGTACTGTGGAGGTTACAGCTGTTGACGTAAGGGCAAATTATCAATTTACAGAAGAGTTAGTAATAGCAGAAGTTTGCTTTTAACATAAAACTATGATATCAATAAGTTTGTAAAAGTATTTGTATATGAAAGTTAACAAACTTCTTATAATAAAATATTTATCTAAAAATAAGGCAAATTTGAAGTGAACTGTTAGATTTTGTTTTGTATTTGGAAATTGTCATTTTGTATTTCT